TGCTGGATGCGGCGCCGAGTCTTGTCGGTGTTGTGGTTTGTTGGTGATCTGAGTCTTGTCGGTGTTGTGGTTTGTTGGTGATCTGAGTCTTGTCGGTGTTGTGGTTTGTTGGTGATCTGAGTCTTGTCGGTGTTGTGGTTTGTTGGTGATCTGAGTCTTGTCGGTGTTGTGGTTTGTTGGTGATCTGAGTCTTGTCGGTGTTGTGGTTTGTTGGTGATCTGAGTCTTGTCGGTTGTGGTTTGTTTGTGGTTTGTTGGTGATCTGAGTCTTGTCGGTGTTGTGGTTTGTTGGTGATCTGAGTCTTGTCGGTGTTGTGGTTTGTTTGGTGATCTGAGTCTCTTGTCGGTGTTGTGGTTTGTTGGTGATCTGAGTCTTGTCGGTGTTGTGGTTTGTTGGTGATCTGAGTCTCGTCGGGTGTTGTGGTTTGTTTGGTGATCTGAGTCTCGTCGGTGTTGTGGTTTGTTTGGTGATCTGAGTCTTGTCGGTGTTGTTGTTTTGTTTGGTGATCTGAGTCTTGTCGGTGTTGTGGGTTTGTTGGTGATCTGAGTCTTGTCGGTGTTGTGGTTTGTTGGTGATCTGAGTCTTGTCGGTGTTGTGGTTTGTTGGTGATCTGAGTCTTGTCGGTGTGTGGTTTGTTGGTGATTGTCTGTCGTGATCTGAGTCTTGTCGGTGTTGTGGTTTGTTGGTGATCTGAGTCTTGTCGGTGTTGTGGTGGGTTTGGTTTGGGGGGGGGGGGGGGCGTGTCCTCTCGCTTCATTCACTCGCACAGAGAGACAAAACTGCTGGAGCTTTATTGTCACGTTAAACCTTCTTTATCGTGGTGTTTTATTTCCACATTGAAAAATAATCCAAATGTTTCCTGCACATGTTTCCATCAAGACCTGGTTTGAAGTAACAAACGTTGTTCTACTGCAGAACATGAACGAGCTCAAACACTTGTCGTCACTGTCACTGTGTGTGTTTGTGTGTGTGTGTTTGTGTGTTTGTGTTTGTGTTTGTGTGTTTATTTGTTGGCGCCTGTTACAGGATCAGGTGTTTGAGCTCGTTCATGTTCTGCAGTAGAACGTTTGTTACTTCAAACCAGGTCTTGATGAAACATGTGCAGGAAACATCTGGAACCCAAACAAGAAAATCCAGAAAATCTGCAGAAAACGAAATAAAATAACACAAGGAGGAGGAGGAGGAGGTGTCTGGGGAGAGGGAGGAGGAGGAGGTGTCTGGGGAGAGGGAGGAGGAGGAGGTGTCTGGGGAGAGGGAGGAGGTGTCTGGGGAGAGGGAGGAGGTGGAGGTGTCTGGGGAGAGGGAGGAGGAGGAGGTGTCTGGGGAGAGGGAGGTTACCTGTTTGTACAGTTGAAGTGTTTCCTCCGTCGTTCGTCGAAGCGCCTGAGCCGCGCGTGTCACTTCCTGTTCACCTGGAGGGGGCGGGACCTGAGCCGCTCGCATCACTTCCTGTTCACCTGGAGGGGGCGGGGCCTGAGCCGCTCGTGTCACTTCCTGTTCACCTGGAGGGGGCGGGGCCTGAGCCACTCGCATCACTTCCTGTTCACCTGGAGGGAGGCGGGGCCTGTCACACTCGGGGGCGGGGCAGGATGTGACGTCATCGGCTTCTTCCTGTTCGGCTGAAATGAGACGGTGAAAGTGTGAAGGGGGTGGAGCCAAACAAACAAAAATGAAACAAAACACGAGGAACAAAACTGAAACTGAAACAACCCCTGGTCTAGTCCTGGTCTAGTCCTGGTCTAGTCCTGGTCTAGTCCTGGTCTAGTCCTGGTCTAGTCCTGGTCTAGTCCTGGTCTAGTCCTGATCTGGTCCTGGTCCTGGTCTGGTCCTGGTGATGATCTGTACCTGGGTCAGTGCAGAGCTCTGGAGGCGGGGCCACAGGGTCTGGGGGCGGGGCCACACTGAGGACACAGGTCCATGTTCAGGTTTCAGGTCTGAGCTCAAAATCAAGTTTAAGTTTGTGACGTTTAAAGTGAAACTCACCTGATGTTTCCAGACTCAGACGGTTCCTCAGCTCCTCCACACCAGACCAGACCTGAGACCAGACCCTCTGAGACCGGACCCTGAGACCAGACCTGAGACCGAGACCGGACCCTCTGAGACCAGATCCTCTGAGACCGGACCTGAGACCAGACCTCTGAGACCGGACCCTCTGAGACCAGATCCTCTGAGACCGGACCCTCTGAGACCAGACCTGAGACCGGACCCTCTGAGACCGGACCCTCTGAGACCAGACCCTCTGAGACCAGACCCTCTGAGACCAGACCCTCTGAGACCGGATCCTCTGAGACCAGATCCTCTGAGACCAGATCCTCTGAGACCGGACCCTCTGAGACCAGATCCTCTGAGACTGGGTTTAGATCCTCACAGATCTGCTTCAAACCTGGAGAAGAGTCTGGTCTCTGGTCCTGATCCAGTCGCTGGTCTGGCTGCATGTCCGGCCTCTGGTCCTGACCCTGGTCCAGCCTCTGGTCCTGACCCGGTCTCTGGTCCTGGTCCGGGTTGAGGTTCTCCTTCCCCCACAGTCCCTGGTTCAGTTGTTGGTTCAGTCTTGGTCTTTGATCCTGGTTCAGTCCTGGTTTCGGGTCTTGGTTCTTCCTCAGCAGGACTACATTTCCCACAAGCCCCTGTGGCGGGAGGCTTCTGTTCAGGACGTCTGATTGGACCAAACACAGGAAGTTCAGAACTCATTTAAAAACAAAAGAAAACAAAAAAAAAAAAACAAGCAGAATTATCCCCAAACCAGAACCAGAACCCAGACCCGGACCAGGACCAGGACCCAGACCAGAACCAGGACCCAGACCCGGACCAGGACCCAGACCAGAACCAGGACCCAGACCAGGACCAGGACCCAGACCAGGACCAGGACCCAGACCAGAACCAGGACCCAGACCCGAACGAGCTGGATCGTCACCGTGACAACAGAGCAGTCGTCCTCCCGACGTCTCCGTGGAAACGTCATCACTTTGTCTAAAATGTTCCAGAGTGTTGATTAAACCTGAGCCGGTCACAGCCGCAGCACATTACAGTTCAGCTCTGTGGAGAGGCGTCCCTCGTCACACAAACACCACAAACTCCACCACGGAACATTCCAGGCAAAACAACAACATCTCCATGGAGACGGGCAGGTGAGAAACGTGACACCTGTGACCAATCAGAGTGCGGCGCGGGTCACGTGACACACCTGTGCGTCGGCGACACTGCACCGTGACAGAGGAATATCTGCGCCATCCTGAGGCATGATGGGAGCTGTGCCTGCGGCCAATCACAGCCCTGCGTCCTGAGGAGGGGGAGGAGTTTGACAAACACGTAAAAACTGATCTACAAAAACAAACGACTCACCACCGAGTCTCTGAGAACCAAGGTCCTCCTGACTCCTCCTGGAACCAAGGTCCTCCTGACTCCTCCTGGAACCAAGGTCCTCCTGACTCCTCCTGGAACCAAGGTCCTCCTGACTCCTCCTGGAACCAAGGTCCTCCTGACTCCTCCTGGAACCAAGGTCCTCCTGACTCCTCCTGGAACCAAGGTCCTCCTGACTCCTCCTGGAACCAAGGTCCTCCTGACTCCTCCTGGAACCAAGGTCCTCCTGACTCCCCTGGAACCAAGGTCCTCCTGACTCCTCCTGGAACCAAGGTCCTCCTGACTCCTCCTGGAACCAAGGTCCTCCTGACTCCTCCTGGAACCAAGGTCCTCCTGACTCCCCCTGGAACCAAGGTCCTCCTGACTCCTCCTGGAACCAAGGTCCTCCTGACTCCTCCTGGAACCAAGGTCCTCCTGACTCCTCCTGGAACCAAGACCCGGACCCAGACCCGACTCAAGACCCGACTCTGTCTGAGGCTGGACCTGAAACACACAGTAGACCTGAATTAGACCTGAATTAGACCTGAATTAGACCCGGTGTAGTCCCGGTTCAGACCCGGTTCAGACCCGGTTCAGACCCGGTTCAGACCCGTTACCTTGACGTTCTCGATGGAGCTCTCCTCGAGGATCCTGGAGGAAACTGAAGTCTGAGGTTTAGACCTGAACCAAAAAGAAAACACAAGATAAATAAAGGATCCAGTCTCGGTCTAGTCTTGGTCCAGGTCTGGTCCACGTCCGGTCTAGTCTCGGTCGAGGTCCCGGTCTAGTCTCAGTCCAGTCCCGGTCCAGGTCTAGTCTCGGTCTAGTCTCGGTCCAGTTCTGGTCCAGGTTCGGTCCAGTCTCGATCCAGGCCCAGGTCTAGTCCCGGTCTAGTCTCGGTCCAGGTCCCGGTCTAGTGTCGTCCAGGTCTAGTCCCGGTCCAGGTCTGGTCCAGGTCTAGTCTCGGTCTCGGTCTAGTCTCGGTCTAGTCTCGGTCCAGGTCTGGTCCAGGTATAGTCTCGGTCTCGGTCTAGTCCAGGTCTAATCTCGGTCCCGGTCTGGTCCCGGTCTAGTCTCGGTCTCGGTCTAGTCTCGCTCCAGGTCTTATCCAGGTCTAGTCTCGGTCTGGTCCCGGTCTAGTCTCGGTCCCGGTCTGGTCCCGGTCTAGTCTCGGTCTAGTCTCGGTCCGGTTACCGGATCCGGTCCTGGTATCTGGACAGGAAGCGCGTGGACAGGCTGAGTCGTGGTTGGAGGAAGTGCTGAGGCTCTGGAGGTCGCAGGGTCACAGGGTCCGTGTCAAAACGCTCTGAAAAGGTCAGAGGTCACAGAGGTCAGAGGTCACATTCAATCACACACCACAGTTTAAACCCGACCAGGACCAGGTCTAAGACCAGGACCAGGGCCAGGACCAGGTCCAAGACCAGGACCAGGGCCAGGACCAGGTCCAAGACCAGGACCAGGACCAGGTCCAAGACCAGGACCAGGACCAGGTCCAAGACCAGGACCAGGTCCAAGACCAGGACCAGGTCCAAGACCAGGACCAGGTCCAAGACCAAGACCAAGACCAGGACCAGGTCCAAGACCAGGACCAGGTCCAAGACCAGGACCAGGTCCAAGGACCAAGACCAGGACCAGGACCAGGACCGTCACATCTGAGTCCAAAGTCTAGAATTTAAACTCATCCAAAAACCTCCAGGTCAAACACGTCTGAAGGACACGAAGACACGAGACAAGATCACACACATGATCAGAGGGTCAGAGGTCAGGGGGTCAGGTGTTGGGGGGTCAGATGTTGGGGGTCAGATGTTGGGGGGTCAGAGGTCGGTGGGTCAGATGTTGGGGGGTCAGAGGTCGGGGGTCAGATGTTGGGGGTCAGAGGTCGGGGGTCAGGTGTTGGGGGGTCAGATGTTGGGGGGTCAGGTGTTGGGGGGTCAGAGGTCGGTGGGTCAGGTGTTGGGGGGTCAGATGTTGGGGAGTCAGAGGTCGGTGGGTCAGAGGTCGGTGGGTCAGAGGTCGGTGGTCAGAGGTCGGTGGGTCAGATGTTGGGGGGTCAGAGGTCGGTGGGTCAGATGTTGGGGGGTCAGAGGTCGATGGGTCAGATGTTGGGGGGTCAGAGGTCGATGGGTCAGATGTTGGGGGGTCAGAGGTCGATGGGTCAGATGTTGGGGAGTCAGAGGTCGGTGGGGTCAGATGTTGGGGGGTCAGAGGTCGGTGGGTCAGATGTTGGGGGTCAGAGGTCAGAGGTCAGGGGGGGTCAGATGTGGGGGGTCAGAGGTCGGGGGGTCAGATGTCGGGGGGTCAGAGGTCGGGGGTCAGGTGTTGGGGGTCAGATGTTGGGTCGTCAGAGGTCGGTGGGTCAGATGTTGGGGGGTCAGAGGTCGGTGGGTCAGATGTTGGGGGGTCAGAGTCGGGGGTCAGGTGTTGGGGGGTCAGAGGTCGGTGGGTCAGGTGTTGGGGGGTCAGAGGTCGGTGGGTCAGGTGTTGGGGGGTCAGAGGTCGGTGGGTCAGGTGTTGGGGGTCAAGTGTTGGGGGGTCAGGTGTTGGGGGGTCAGGTGTTGGGGGGTCAGTGTTGGGGTCAGGTTGGGGTTGGGGGGTCAGATGTTGGGGGTCAAGTGTTGGGGGGTCAGGTGTTGGGGGGTCAAGTGTTGGGGGGTCAGGTGTTGGGGGGTCAGATGTACCTGTCTCCTGGTTCTCTGTGGAGACGTCTGACCCGGTCGAGTCTGGACTCAGGTCTTCATGACCTTCGACCTCGTGACCCTGAACATCAAAGTCCCTGAAACAGACCAATCAGAACACAACACTTAGACCAAGCCCCGCCCACCAGCCAATCACACTAAACCAGGACTAAACCAGGACTAAACCAGGACTAAACCAGGACTAAACCAGAAACCAGGACTGAACCAGGACTAAACCAGGACTAAACCAGAACTGAACCAGGACTAAACCAGGACTAAACCAGGACTAAACCAAGACTAAACCAGGACTGAACCAGGACTGAACCAGGACTGAACCAGGACTAAACAGTCACATGTAGTTAGAGGCAGTGACCTGTTGGAGGCGCTGCTGTGATCAGGGAACAGGCCAAAGCTGCTGCAGATCACACCTGGAGGCTCCGCCCCCTGCACAGGTGAGAGACAGAGAGAGAGAAGTGTAATACTTGTTATAGAACAGTGTGAGTGTGAACGCAGCGTCAGACTCCGCCCTCTCAAAGCCCCGCCCTCTCAAAGCCCCGCCCTCCTCCGTCTGCAGTCACATCCACGTTCACACCAGAACCTCACACACTCTGCTCTCACCTCCTCCTCTTCCTCCTCTTCTTCTTCCTCTTCCTCTTCTTCTTCCTCTTCTTCTTCTTCTTCTTCCACCAGGAGACTCTCCAGACTCTGGGGACAAAACTCCTCCTCTGGTCCCAGATCTTGGTCTAAGTCCTGGTCCTGGTCTCGGTTCTGTGTTGGACTCGGGGAGAAACTGGGGCAGATCCTGATGGGGTTTGCTTGCTCCGCCCACCTCCTCCTCACCTGTGGAGGCTCGGCGTCTGATTGGCCGAGAGCAGAGGAAGCCCCGCCCCCTCCCTGCTGCAGAGACAAAACACAGAAACAGGAGTGAGACGGGAGAGAGACGGGAGTGAGACGTGAGAGAGACGAGAGACGGGAGTGAGACAGGAGTGAGACGAGAGACGGGAGTGAGACAGGAGTGAGACGGGAGTGAGACGGACAGAGAGGAGTGAGACGTGAGTGAGACGAGAGACGGGAGTGAGACGGGAGTGAGACAGGAGTGAGACGGACAGAGAGAGGAGTGAGAGAGGAGTGAGACGTGAGACGGGAGTGACAGAGGAGTGAGACGAGAGACCGGAGTGAGACGGGAGTGAGACGAGAGACGGGAGTGAGACAGGAGTGAGACGGTAGTGAGAGAGGAGTGAGGCGGAGAGAGAGAGGAGTGAGACGGGAGTGAGAGAGGAGTGAGGCGGAGTGAGAGAGGAGTGAGATAGGAGTGAGACGGAGAGAGAGAGGAGTGAGGTGGAGAGAGAGGAGTGAGAGAGGAGTGAGATGGGAGTGAGAGAGGAGTGAGACGGGAGTGAGGCGGAGAGAGAGAGGAGATAGGAGTGAGACGAGAGTGAGAGAGGAGTGAGGTGGAGAGAGAGAGGAGTGAGATAGGAGTGAGACGGGACTAACAGAGTTTTGTTTTTCTTACCAGTTTCCTGAACCACAGAGGCAGTTTCCCATTGGTCTGCAACAACGGCAACTCTGAAACAGAAACACACACAAACACACACACACACAAACACACACACACACACAAACACACACACAAACAAACACACAAATCCTTTGTCAGTTTTTGTCTAATCTTATATTTACTCTCTGTGCTGAGTCCCTCCCCCTTCAGAGCGTCGCACTAGTGAAATCTGTTTGTCCAGTTGTTTATCAAGTTGTCGTGTTTTTGTGTTTTTATGGAGAGTTGTGGTGTGGGAGGCTGGGGGGCGGAGCCTCGTACAGACTCGTACTCAAAACCGTACAGAGGGTTTGAGTAGGACCCAGGAGAGATCACTAGATGACTCAAACCTGGATGAGTCTAAAGCGTCTTCAGGTTGGTGATGAGGAACATGAGGAACATGAGGAACATGAGGTACATGAACCCGGAGGTGTTTGTACCGCTGTGTGTGTCGGGTCGTCCAGGGGTCACCACCTCTGACTCCTCCCCCTCGGGCAACAGACAGATCTGATTGGACGGACCCGTGATGAACGTCTCCCTCCTGAAACACAAGAACCCGTAAGAATCTGATAGAACCTGATAGAACTCGTTAGAACCTCTAATCCCCCCTCAGCTGTGTGTTCTACCTGTGACGCACCTGCGTGTTCTACCTGTGACGCACCTGATGTTCAGCTTCCTGTTCTTGTCCTGCTTCCTGTCCAAGCCCCGCCTCTTCCTCATCAGCGACGTCATGGCGGAGTCGAGACGCCACACGAAGATGCAGCTGCAGACGGCCAATCAGAGACGAGAGACCCAAGGAACGGACCAATCAGAGAGCAGAGAAACCAAACATGAGATGGACCAATCAGAGCGTGGCGTGAGTGAAGTAGGCGGTACCTGTCTCCAGACGCCGTGAGCAGGTGACGACAGTCCAGACTGAACCGGATCGAAGTCACCACCTCTGAAACCAAACAGAACCAGGACTAGACCAGGACTGGACCAGGACTGGACCAGGACTGGACCAGGACTGGACCAGGACTGGACCAGGACTGGACCAGGACTGGACCAGGACTGGACCAGGACCAGACTGACCTGAGTGTCCGTACAGCGTGGCCACACACTCTCCGGTCTCGTAGTCGTGGATACAGATGTTTTTGTCGGAGCCGCTGGACGCCACGTACGAGCCTGAGGGGTCAAAGGTCACCTGAGGGCAGCAGAGGTCACGGGGTCAAAACAACAACAACATAATAAACCCACACACAGTCTGTGTCACATCTGCATCATGTCTGCACAGTCTTAGTCCAGAGGTCTCATAAAACTGTGCAATTGTTGTTGTTAGTTGTTTGTCTGTAGCTACAACAGGCGCCACAAACTCCAGATTTACTAAACCCACCGCACGAACCAAACCTGCAACCTGACCACGCCCCCCCACACCTCCACCTCACAATAAAAGGACAGACCACGCCCCCTCACACCTCCACCTCACCATAAAAGGACAGACCACGCCCCCTCACAACCCCACCTCACCATAAAAGGACAGACCACGCCCCCTCACACCCCACCTCACAATAAAAGGACAGACCACGCCCCCCACACCTCTACCTCACCATAAAAGGACAGACCACGCCCCCTCACACCCCCACCTCACCATAAAAGGAGCAGGTAAAGTGTCTGGTGAATGAGATTTCCCTAAACATGAGTCAATCAGACACGCGGGACAGAGGGAGGAGGAGGCTCCACGCAGCACCACGTGATCACGACAAACACTTAAACAAGTTTAATAAATAAATACAAAACTAAACGTGACGACAACGACTCATCTGTTCATTTAATCATATTTTATAATATTTAGGCAGTAAAGCCCATGTGTTTTTTCACTGTTTCAAGAGTTTTATCTCTATATTTTTAAGTCTGTCTATGATGTGTGTGTGGACTGGCCCTGTATATATATATATATATGTACATATACACGTAGATACGTGCACGCGCTGATCTGAATGGTCACGAGGACACGAGGACACATATTTAACACGAAACACATCAGATACAGATGTTATTCTGCCAATGAAAGTCCAAACCAAACATCCAAACTGCTGAACCTGTGAGTGTGGGTCTGTGAGTGTGGGTCTGTGAGTGCGGGTCTGTGAGTGCGGGTCTGTGAGTGCGGGTCTGTGAGTGCGGGTCTGTGAGTGCGGGTCTGTGAGTGCGGGTCTGTGAGTGCGGGTCTGTGAGTGCGGGTCTGTGAGTGCGGGTCTGTGAGTGCGGGTCTGTGAGTGCGGGTCATGTGCTCAGTTCCACATTACACAAACATGTAGGAAGATTTTGGTTGGGGTCAGGTTCGGGCAGTGGGCTTCATGTTGTCTGCAGACTCGGGTCGCAGACTCGGGTCGCAGACTCGGGTCGCAGACTCGGGTCACAGACTCGGGTCACAGACTCGGGTCACTCTGGCGCTCGGTGCGTAAAGACTAAAGTAAAAGTGTTATAGTTGAGTTCATTAAATCAAAGTCTGGCTCCTGCTGCGTCCGAGGGAAGAGTTTAGTCTCAGGTCGGGTCATTATTTCGTCCTCTGTGTTGGTCAGTTGTGTTTTGTAGAATCTCTGGTCTTGGTGTGGACTGTGGGACTCTGCACCGGGAACCAAACACTTAAATGTACAAATCTGAAGGTCATTCTTTTATATACGTGGATTTTCTGATCAAACTCTTCCTCAAACTCTGTTCACTTCTGCTTCTCTCCACGAGTGTCGCTTTTTCCCCGTGTCTCCAGACTTTGTGTAGAGTTTCCAGGACCAGAGTTGGAGTCGAGTTAAACAAAGAGCCACAACTTAGTCGAGTTTTATAAATACTGCAGTTGGTGTAGAGAGCAACAACGCAAGGACGTGTGCGTAAGCAAGATTTATAAACGAGGCCCCTGGTCTAGACCTCGTTCAGTCCTGGTTTAGTCCTGGTCTAGTCCTGGTTCAGTCCTGGTTCAGTCCTGGTTCAGTCCTGGTCTAGTCCTGGTTTCTGGTCCTGGTTTAGTCCTGGTTCAGTCCTGGTTTAGTCCTGGTTCAGTCCTTGGTTAGTCCTGGTTTAGTCCTGGTTTAGTCCTGGTTCAGTCCTGGTTTAGTCCTGGTTTAGTCCTGGTTCAGTCCTGGTTTAGTCCTGGTTTAGTCCTGGTTCAGTCCTGGTTTAGTCCTGGTTTAGTCCTGGTTTAGTCCTGGTTTAGTCCTGGTTTAGTCCTGGTTCAGTGTGGTGGTTTGTTGTGACCTCTGACCTTCAGTAGAGCTCCTTCGTCGCTCGTTGATCCTTTCAGAGTCTTGGTCAGTTTCCCACTGTCCACACTGTAAACCCTGAAACAACACACTGTTAGTCCCGGTCCAGGTCCCGGTCCAGGTCCAGGTCCAGGTCCTGGTCTCACCGTATGTTGCGGTCCTGGCAGGCGAAGGCGGCGTGTGTGTGAGTCGGGTCCAGCTCCATGTCGTACAGAGAACTTTTCTCCACCACGTGATGACACCGAGAGAAGGTCAGCCCCGCCCCCGTCTGCAGCAAAGCATCATGGGAAACTGAGTCCTCTGACCCTCCTCTGACCCCCTGACCCTCCTCTGACCCCCTGACCCTCCTCTGACCCTCTGCTCCTCCTCTGACCCCCTGACCCTCCTCTGACCCCCTGCTCCTCCTCTGACCCTCTGCTCCTCCTCTGACCCCCTGACCCTCCTCTGACCCCCTGCTCCTCCTCTGACCCCCTGACCCTCCTCTGACCCCCTGCTCCTCCTCTGACCCCCTGACCCTCCTCTGACCCCCTGACCCTCCTGACCCTCCTCTGACCCTGACCCTCCTCTGACCCCCTGACCCTCCTCTGACCCCCTGACCCTCCTCTGACCCCCTGCTCCTCCTCTGACCCCCTGACCCTCCTCTGACCCACACTGACCTGTTCTGCGGTCTGGACGTAGATGCTCTTGTCTGCTCCACAGCTCACCATCTTCAGTTCAGGACTCTCCCCTGGAACACACATGGAACCTGGTTTAATCCTGCTCCAGTCCTGGTTTTGTCCCTGGTCCTGGTCCTGGTCCTGGTCCTGGTCTGACCTGTGAAGCGCACGGCGGTGATGGAGCCTGAGTGGTCGTAGAGGGACTGGATCAGGTGGTAGTCCTGGTCCCGGTTGAAGATGTGGATGAGTCTGTCTCTGGAGGCCGAGGCCAGAAGACGCACTCCTGAAGAACATCACCAGAGCTTCAGACCACAAGTTCTCCACACTCTGGAAACATCTCAGACCACACGTTCTCCACACTCTGGAAACATCTCAGACCACACGTTCTCCACACTCTGGAAACATCTCAGACCACACGTTCTCCACACTCTGGAAACATCTCAGACCACACGTTCTCCACACTCTGGAAACATCTCAGACCACACGTTCTCCACACTCTGGAAACATCTCAGACCACACGTTCTCCACACTCTGGAAACATCTCAGACCACATGTTCTCCTCACTGTTACCTGAGGATTCTGGGGAGAAGGTCAGACACAAAACCTCAGAGTTATGGGCTTCAATCCTGTGCAGCTCCTCCACAAACTCCAGAGCCAAGATACTGCAACACACCGCCAAAATAAAACACTCACCGCCAAAATAAAAAACACCCCGCCAAAATAAAACACTCACCGCCAAAATAAAACACACCCCGCCAAAATAAAACACACCCCGCCAAAATAAAACACACCCCGCCAAAATAAAACACACCCCGCCAAAATAAAACACACGCCGCCAAAATAAAACACTTGCCGCCAAAAATAAATCACCCCGCCAAAATAAAAGTATAAAAGAGTCAAATTAAAGATCCGGTCCGGGGGCGTGTCTCACCTGACGTTGCCGTGGCGATCGCCCGTCGCCAGGTGAGCTCCGTCGGGACTCACGGCCAAAACCCGGAGTCCGGACTTCGGGTCGGCCGCGGCGTCGGTCGACTCCGCCTCCCCCACGTACAGGATCCTCAGCAGGTCCTGACAGAGACCAGGTTTAGAACCAGGACCCGGCGGGTCTACAGGAGGATTCTAACAGGTTCTGGACGTACCGGCTCTGGACGTACCTGGCTGTAGCAGTTGCTCTGAGGACTCTCTGTGCTCCAGACCCGGATCGTCCCGTCTGAAGAAGACGTCACGAACGAACCCGGAGGAAGACACGACTCCAAGTCCTCCAGGTCTGGGTAGGTCTATGGAGAAAAGAGCACCGAGTCAGAGAAGGTCAGGGGTCAGAGGGTCATAGGAGGTCAGGGGTCAGGGGTCAGGGATCACCTCCAGGCTCCACACACAGGAGCTGTGGTACAGGGCAGAGTAGATCTTGCTCTGGTCCTTCAGGTCCTTCAGGTCGTAGCAGTAGAGGCTGTGATCACCGTAGATGACGCAGAGGAGGCGTGTCCCGGGGTCGAAACTCAACGCCACCGTGTCAGGGAAGACTCCGCCCCCTGCTCCCGGCGACGCCCTGAGGAGGAACGCCATTGTTCAGAGTCAGGAGAGAGGGGAGGAGTCAGGAAAGAAGGGGAGGAGTCAGGAAAGAGGGGGAGGAGTCAGGAGAGAGGGGGAGGAGTCAGGAGAGAGGGGGAGGAGTCAGGAGAGAGGGGAGGAGTCAGGAGAGAGGGGAGGAGTCAGGAGAGGGGGGAGGAGTCAGGAGAGAGGGGGAGGAGTCAGGAGAGGGGGAGGAGTCAGGAGAGAGGGGGAGGAGTCAGGAGAGAGGGGGAGGAGTCAGGAGAGAGGAGGAGGAGTCAGGGGAGAGGGCGGAGGAGTCAGGAGAGGGGGGAGGAGTCAGGTGAGAGGGGGAGGAGTCAGGAGAGAAGGGGGGGAGTCGGGGGGAAGCGTTCGGGGAGAGTCTGACCCGTGCTGCAGTTCCACTCCGAGTCTGTGGGGGCGCTGGAGGCTGCAGATGTAACTCAGGTCGGAGGAGAAAACTCGGACGACGCCGTCGGAGCAGCCACAGAAAACCACGTCCTCGTCCACTGCCAGAGAGAACGCCGCCTCCGCCTGACCACAGAGGGAGGGGCTTAAACCAACGCCACGTGACCACAGAGGGAGGCTTTAGCGGGGCTTTAGCGAGGCTTTAGAGAGGCTTTAGCGGGGCTTTAGAGAGGCTTTAGCGGGGCTTTAGCGGGGCTTTAGAGAGGCTTTAGAGAGGCTTTAGAGAGGGCTTTAGAGAGGCTTTAGCGGGGCTTTAGCGGGGCTTTAGAGGGGCTTTAGAGAGGCTTTAGAGAGGCTTTAGAGAGGCTTTAGAGGGGCTTTAGAGAGGCTTTAGAGGGGCTTTAGAGAGGCTTTAGAGGGGCTTTAGAGAGGCTTTAGAGAGGCTTTAGAGAGGCTTTAGAGGGGCTTTCGCGGGGCTTTAGAGCGGTTCTCGTACCTTGAGGTGGACCCAGGTCTCGAGGGTTCGCTGTTGGGCATTGAACACACAGAGGAGGGCGGAGCTTGTGATGCAGAAGGTTCGAGTCGCAGCTTGGCCCCGCCCACACGCCACCGCCACAAACACGCTGTTCTTATGGTCGCCTAGCAACGCCGAGCGACCAATCAGAGGCACCGTACTGTTCACCTGCAACACAGAGATGACCAATCAGAACGAGACCCCAGACCCCGAGAGTCCAGACCCCGAGAGTCCAGACCCCGAGAGTCCAGACCCCGAGAGTCCAGACCCCGAGACTCCAGACCCCAGACCCCGAGAGTCCAGACCCCGAGAGTCCAGACCCCGAGACTCCAGACCCCGAGACTCCAGACCCAGACCCCGAGAGTCCAGACCCCGAGAGTCCAGACCCCGAGACTCCAGACCCCGAGAGTCCAGACCCCAGACCCCGAGAGTCCAGACCCCGAGAGTCCAGATTGAAACATGAGACCCGGTGGTAATGGCACTGACCCGGTTGTGACCCGGTGGTGACCCGGTGGTACTGACCCGGTTGTGACCTGGTGGTGACCTGGTGGTACTGACCCGGTTGTGACCCGGTGGTACTGACCCGGTGGTACTGACCCGGTTGTGACCTGGTGGTACTGACCTGGTGGTGATCCGGTGGTACTGACCCGGTGGTGACCTGGTGGTACTGACCCGGTGGTACTGACCCGGTTGTGACCTGGTGGTACTGACCCGGTGGTGACCTGGTGGTGGTGACCTGGTGGTATTGACCCGGTGGTGACCTGGTGGTACTGACCCGGTTGTGACCTGGTGGTACTGACCTGGTGGTGACCTGGTGGTATTGACCCGGTGGTGACCTGGTGGTACTGACCCGGTGGTGACCTGGTGGTACTGACCCGGTTGTGTGCAGACTGGTGCAGGTACCAGAACTTGACGTGTCTGGTTCCCGCGGTGACGAAGAAACTGTCGTCCTCAGAAAACGAGACGCTCGAGACTCGACTGGAAACTTTGTTCGACGCGATGACCACACCCCTCTGAAACACACAAACACACACAAACGCACAATAAACACACACAAACGCACAATAAACACACAATAAACACACACAAACGCACAATAAACACACAATAAACACACACAAACGCACAATAAACACACAAACACACAACACACACAAACAAACACACACAAACGCACAATAAACACAATAAACACAAACACACTTAAACGCACAACACACAAACACACACAAACGCACAATAAACACACAAACACACAATAAACACACACACAAACGCACAATAAACACACACAAACGCACAACACACACAAACGCACAACACGCACAACACACACAAACGCACAATAAACACAATAAACACACACAAACGCACAACACACAAACACACAATAAACACACACAAACACACACAAACGCACAATAAACACACAAACACACATAAACGCACAACACACAAACACACACAAACGCACAATAAACACAAACACACAAACGCACAACACACAAACACACAAACAAACACACAATAAACACACACACAAAACGCACAACACACACACGCACAAACACAGCACAATAAACACACACACACACAAACAGCACAATAAACACACAACAGCACAATAAACACACACAACACACAAACACACAAACACACACACACACAACACACAAACACAACACACAATAAACACACAACGCACAACACAACACACAAACACACACACAACACACAAGCACAATAAACACACAAACACACAACACACACACACAAAACACACAAAACACACATAAACACACACAACGCACAATAAACACACAAACACACACAACACAACACACACACAACACACAAACACACACACACACACACAACAAATAAACACACACAAAACACACACAAACGCACAACACACACACATAAACACACAAACACACACAAAACGCACAATAAACACACAAACACACAACACAAACACACACAAACGCACAACACACACACAATAAACACACACAAACGCACAACACACAAAACACACAACACACACAACACACACACATAAACACACAAACACACACAATAAAACACACAAACAGCACAAACACACACAAACGCACAATAAACACACAAACACACACAAACACACAACACACACACAAACACAACACACATAACACACAAAACACACACACACACAACACACGCACAATAAACACACAACACACACACACAACACACACACAAACACACACACAACAAACGCACAATAAACACACAATAAACACACAAACACACAAACACACAAACGCACAACACACAAACGCACAATAAACACACACACACACACAAACACACACAAACACAGCACAATAAACACGCACAATAAACACACAAACGCACAATAAACACAAACACACAACACACAAACACACAATAAACACACAAACGCACAATAAACACACAAACACACACAAACGCACAATAAACACACAAACACGCACAATGACCACACCCCTCTGAAACACACAAACACACACACACACACAACACACAAACACAAACAAACGCACGATAAACACACAAACGCACAATAAACACACAAACACACACAAACACACACACACAACACAAACACACACAAACGCACAATAAACACACAACACACAAACACACAACACACAATAAACACACAAACACACACAAACACAACACAAACACACAATAAACACACAACACACAATAAACACACAAACACACACAAACGCACAACACACAAACACACACAAACGCACAACACACACAAACGCACAATAAACACACAAACACACAACACACACAAACGCACAATAAACACACAAACACACACAAACACACACAAACGCACAATAAACGCACAATAAACACACAAACGCACAACACAAACACACACAAACGCACAACACACAATAAACACACAAACGCACAATAAACACACAAACGCACAATAAACACACAAACGCACAATAAACACAATAAACACACAAACGCACAATAAACGCACAATAAACACACAAACACACACAAATGCACAATAAACACACAAACGCACAATAAACACACAAACGCACAATAAACACACACAAACGCACAATAAACACACAAACACACGTTGACACTCATGTCGTGTTGTAGTAGTAGTAGTAGTATTTGTAGTATTTGCAGTACCTTCCAGTCCCACACGTTGACACTCATGTCGAGTTGCAGTAGTAGTAGTAGTATTTGTAGTATTTGTAGTACCTTCCAGTCCCACACGTTGACACTCATGTCGTGTTGTAGTAGTAGTATTTGTAGTATTTGCAGTACCTTCCAGTCCCACACGTTGACACTCATGTCGTGTTGTAGTAGTAGTAATATTTGTAGTATTTGTAGTATTTGCAGTACCTTCCAGTCCCACACGTTGACGCTCATGTCGTGTTTGTAGTAGTAGTAGTAGTAGTAGTATTTGTAGTATTTGTAGTATTTGCAGTACCTTCCAGTCCCACACGTTGACACTCATGTTGTGTTGTATAGTAGTAGGATTTGTAGTATTTGTAGTATTTGCAGTACCTTCCAGTCCCACACGTTGACGCTCATGTCGTGTTGTAGTAGTAGTAGTAGTATTTGTAGTATTTGTATATTTGCAGTACCTTCCAGTCCCACACGTTGACGCTCATGTCGTGTTGTAGTAGTAGTAGTAGTATTTGTAGTATTTGTAGTATTTGAAGTACCTTCCAGTCCCACACGTTGACGCTCATGTCGTGTGTAGTAGTAGTAGTATAGTGTAGTAGTATTGTAGTATATTTGTAGTAGTAGTAGTAGTAGTAGTAGTAGTAGTAGTAGTAGTAGTAGTAGTAGTATTTGTAGTATTTGCAGTACCTTCCAGTCCCACACGTTGACACTCATGTCGAGTTGCAGTAGTAGTAGTAGTAGTATTTGTAGTATTTGTAGTACCTTCCAGTCCCACACGTTGACACTCATGTCGTGTTGTAGTAGTAGTATTTGTAGTATTTGTAGTATTTGAAGTACCTTCCAGTCCCACACGTTGACGCTCATGTCGTGTTGTAGTAGTAGTAGTAGTAGTAGTATTTGTAGTATTTGTAGTATTTGCAGTACCTTCCAGTCCCACACGTTGACACTCATGTTGTGTTGTAGTAGTAGGATTTGTAGTATTTGTAGTATTTGCAGTACCTTCCAGTCCCACACGTTGACGCTCATGTCGTGTTGTAGTAGTAGTAGTAGTATTTGTAGTATTTGTAGTATTTGCAGTACCTTCCAGTCCCACACGTTGACGCTCATGTCGTGTTGTAGTAGTAGTAGTAGTATTTGTAGTATTTGTAGTATTTGAAGTACCTTCCAGTCCCACACGTTGACGCTCATGTCGTGTTGTAGTAGTAGTAGTATTTGTAGTATTTGCAGTACCTTCCAGTCCCACACATTGACGCTCATGTCGTGTTGTAGTAGTAGTAGTAGTAGTAGTAGTAGTAGTAGTAGTAGTAGTAGTAGTAGTATTAGTGTAGTATTTGCAGTACCTTCCAGTCCCACACGTTGACACTCATGTCGTGTTGTAGTAGTAGTAGTATTTGTGTAGTATTTGCAGTACCTTCCAGTCCCACACGTTGACGCTCATGTCGTGTTGTAGTAGTATTTGTAGTATTTGTAGTATTTGCAGTACCTTCCAGTCCCACACGTTGACGCTCATGTCGTGTTGTAGTAGTAGTAGTAGTAGTATTTGTAGTATTTGCAGTACCTTCCAGTCCCACACGTTGACGCTCATGTCGTGTTGTAGTAGTAGTAGTAGTATTTGTAGTATTTGTAGTATTTGCAGTACCTTCCAGTCCCACACGTTGACGCTCATGTCGTGTTGTAGTAGTAGTAGTATTTGTAGTATTTGTAGTATTTGCAGTACCTTCCAGTCCCACACGTTGACGCTCATGTCGTGTTGTAGTAGTAGTAGTATTTGTAGTATTTGTAGTATTTGTAGTATTTGCAGTACCTTCCAGTCCCACACGTTGACGCTCATGTCGTGTTGTAGTAGTAGTAGTAGTAGTATTTGTAGTATTTGTAGTATTTGCAGTACCTTCCAGTCCCACACGTTGACGCTCATGTCGTGTTGTAGTAGTAGTAGTATTTGTAGTATTTGTAGTATTTGCAGTACCTTCCAGTCCCACACGTTGACGTTCATGTCGTGTTGTAGTAGTAGTAGTATTTGTAGTAGTATTTGTAGTATTTGTAGTATTTGTAGTATTTGTAGTATTTGCAGTACCTTCCAGTCCCACACGTTGACGCTCATGTCGTGTTGTAGTAGTAGTAGTATTTGTAGTATTTGCAGTACCTTCCAGTCCCACACGTTGACGCTCATGTCGTGTTGTAGTAGTAGTAGTAGTATTTGTAGTATTTGTAGTATTTGCAGTACCTTCCAGTCCCACACGTTGACGCTCATGTCGTGTTGTAGTAGTAGTAGTAGTATTTGTAGTATTTGTAGTATTTGCAGTACCTTCCAGTCCCACACGTTGACACTCATGTCGTGTTGTAGTAGTAGTAGTTATTTTGTAGTATTTGTAGTATTTGTATTTGTAGTACCTTCCAGTCCCACACGTTGACGCTCATGTCGTGTTGTAGTAGTAGTAGTATTTGTAGTATTTGTAGTATTTGTAGTATTTAAAGTACCTTCCAGTCCCACACGTTGACGTTCATGTCGTGTTGTAGTAGTAGTAGTAGTATTTGTAGTAGTATTTGTAGTATTTGTAGTATTTGCAGTACCTTCCAGTCCCACACGTTGACGCTCATGTCGTGTTGTAGTAGTAGTAGTATTTGTAGTATTTGTAGTATTTGCAGTACCTTCCAGTCCCACACGTTGACGCTCATGTCGTGTTGTAGTAGTAGTAGTATTTGTAGTATTTGTAGTACCTTCCAGTCCCACACGTTGACGCTCATGTCGTGTTGTAGTAGTAGTAGTAGTAGTATTTGTAGTATTTGCAGTACCTTCCAGTCCCACACGTTGACGCTCATGTCGTGTTGTAGTAGTAGTAGTATTAGTAGTATTAGTAGTATTTGTAGTATTTGCAGTACCTTCCAGTCCCACACGTTGACACTCATGTCGTGTTGTAGTAGTAGTAGTATTTGTAGTATTTGTAGTATTTGCAGTACCTTCCAGTCCCACACGTTGACGCTCATGTCGTGTTGTAGTAGTAGTAGTATTAGTAGTATTGTAGTATTTGTAGTATTTGTAGTATTTGCAGTACCTTCCAGTCCCACACGTTGACACTCATGTCGTGTTGTAGTAGTAGTAGTAGTATTTGTAGTATTTGCAGTACCTTCCAGTCCCACACGTTGACGCTCATGTCGTGTTGTAGTAGTAGTAGTATTTGTAGTATTTGCAGTACCTTCCAGTCCCACACGTTGACGCTCATGTCGTGTTGTAGTAGTAGTAGTAGTATTGTAGTATTTGTAGTATTTGTAGTATTTGCAGTACCTTCCAGTCCCACACGTTGACGCTCATGTCGTGTTGTAGTAGTAGTAGTATTTGTAGTATTTGTAGTATTTGTAGTATTTGCAGTACCTTCCAGTCCCACACGTTGACGCTCATGTCGTGTTGTAGTAGTAGTAGTAGTATTTGTAGTATTTGTAGTATTTGCAGTACCTTCCAGTCCCACACGTTGACGCTCATGTCGTGTTGTAGTAGTAGTAGTAGTATTTGTAGTATTTGTAGTATTTGTAGTACCTTCCAGTCCCACACGTTGACGCTCATGTCGTGTTGTAGTAGTAGTAGTAGTAGTATTTGTAGTATTTGTAGTATTTGCAGTACCTTCCAGTCCTACACGTTGACGCTCATGTCGTGTTGTAGTAGTAGTAGTAGTAGTATTTGTAGTATTTGTAGTATTTGCAGTACCTTCCAGTCCCACACGTTGACGCTCATGTCGTGTTGAAATCCCACAGAGACGATGAACTCGTCCGATCGACTGAACGAGACGCAGGAAACTCCATGTTTATGAATCTGAACCTCAGACTTCATCGCCCCCTTCAGGTCAAACACACGAACACACGGCAGGTGACCGCTCTGAAACACACAACACACACAGTAAACACACAACACACACACACACACACACACACTATAAACACACAACACACACACACACTATAAACACACAACACACACAGTAAACACACAACACACACACACACACACACTATAAACACACAACACACACACACACATAATAACAACACACACACACACAACACACACACACACACACACACACACACACACAACTATATAAACACAACACACACACACACACACTATAAACACACAACACACACACACACACTATAAACACACAACACACACTATAAACACACAACACACACAGTAAACACACAACACACACACACACACACTATAAACACACAACACACACAACACACACACACACACACACACACAGTAACACACAACACACACACACACACACACACACACACACTATAAACACACAACACACACACACACACTATAAACACACAACACACACAGTAAACACACAACACACACACACACACTATAAACACACACAACACACACACACACACACAACACACAACACACACACAAACACACACACACACACACACACACACACTATAAACACACACTAACACAACACACACACACACAGTAAACACACACATAACACACATAAACACACACTATAAACACACACACACACACACACACACACACTATAAACACACAACACACACACACACACACACACACACACACACTATAAACACACACACACACACACACACACACACACACACACACACACTAACACACACACACACACACACACACACACACACTATAAACACACACACACACACACACACACACACTATAAACACACAACACACACACAACACACTAAAACACACAACACACACTATAAACACACACACACACACACATAAACACACAACACACACACACACACATATAAACACACAACACACACAGTAACACACACACACACACACTATAACACACACACACACACACACACACACTAAAACACACACAACAACACACACACACACATAAACACACACACAACACACAAAACACACACACACACACACACTATAAACACACAACACACACAGTAAACACACAACACACACTATAAACACACACTATAAACACACAACACACACACACACACACACTATAAACACACAACACACACACACACACTATAAACACACAACACACACAGTAAACACACAACACACACTATAAACACACACTATAAACACACAACACACACAGTAAACACACAACACACACACACTATAAACACACAACACACACACACACACACACACACACAAACACACACACATAAACACACACACACACACTATAAACACACACTATAAACACACAACACACACACACACACACACACACACACACACACACACACAACACACACATATAACACACACACACACACAGTAAACACACAACACACACAGTAAACACACAACACACACAAAACACACACACACACACACATAACACACACTATAACACACACACACACACACACACACACACATAAACACACAACACACACACACACACACACACAAACACACACACACACACACACACACACACACACACACACTATAAACACACAACACACACACACACACACACATAAACACACAACACACACACACACTATAAACACACACACACACACACACATAAAACACACACACACACACACACACACATAAACACAACACACACACACTATAAACACACAACACACACATAAACACACAACAACACACACTAACACACACAACACACACACACACACACACACACTATAAACACACACACACACACACACACACACTATAACACACAACACACACACACACTATAAACACACACATAAACACACAACACACACACACACACACTATAACACACAACACACACACACACACAACACACACAACACACACAGTACAAACACACACACACACACACACACACACACACACTATAAACACACACAATACACAACACACAACACACACACACACACACTATAAACACACAACACACACACACTAAACACAACACACACACACACACACACACACTACATAACACACAACACACACAGTAAACACACAACACACACACACACTAAACACACAACACACACACACACAACACACACACACACACACACTATAAACACACACACACACACACACACTATAAACACACAACACACACACACACACACTATAAACACACAAACACACACACACACACACACCACACACTATAAACACACAACACACACTATAAACACACACACACACAGTAACACACAACACACACAACACACACACTATAACACACAACACACACACACACACACACACTATAACACACAACACACACACACACTATAACACACAACACACACACTATAACACACACACACACTATAACACACAACACACACTATAACACACAACACACACACACTATAACACACAACACACACACACACACTATAACACACAACACACACACACACACACATATAACACACAACACACACTATAACACACAACACACACACTATAACACACAACACACAACACACTATAACACACACACACACACACTATAACACACACAACACACACACACACACACACACACACACATACACACACAACACACACTATAAACACACAACACACACACACATACAACACACACACACACACACACAACACTATAAACACACAACACACACACACACACTATAAACACACACACACACACACTATAAACACACAAACACACACACACACACACACACACTATAAACACACAACACACACACACACACACTAAACACACAACACACACTATAAACACACAACACACACACACACTATAAACACACAACACACACACACACACACACACACTATAAACACACAACACACACACACACATACACACAACAACACACACATAAACACACACACTATAAACACACACACACACACTATAACACACACACACACACTATAACACACAACACACACACTATAACACACAACACACACTATAACACACAACACACACACTATAACACACAACACACACACTATAACACACAACACACACTATAACACACAACACACACAACACACACAACACACACTATAAACACACACACACACACACACACACTATAAACACACAACACACACAGTAAACACACAACACACACTATAAACACACAACACACACACACACACACTACACACACACACTATAAACACACAACACACACTATAAACACACACACACACACACACTATAAACACACACACACATAAACACACACACAACACACACACACTATAACACACAACACACACACTATAACACACAACACACACTATAACACACACAACACACACACACAAACACACACTATAAACACACACACACACACACACACACACACTATAAACACACAACACACACACACACACTAAACACACACACACACACACACACACACACACACACACACTATAAACACACACACACACACACACACTATAAACACACAACACACACACACACACACAACACACACAACACACTAAAACACACAACACACACTATAAACACACAACACACACAAACACACAAACACACATAAACACACATAACACACACACAAAACACACACTATAAACACACAACACACACACACTATAAACACACAACACACACTATACACACATAAACACACAACACACACAACAACACACACTAACACACACAACACACACACACAACACACACAAAACACACAAACACACACACACACACACTATAAACACACAACACACACAACACACACACACTATAAACACACAACACACACTATAAACACACACTATAAACACACAACACACACAGTAAACACACACACACACACACACACATAAACACACACAACACACACACACTATAAACACACAACACACACAACACACACTATAAACACACAACACACACAACACACACACTATAAACACACAACACACACTATAAACACACACTATAAACACACAACACACACACACACTATAAACACACAACACACACACACACTATAAACACACAACACACACACACAGGGAACAGAACCACAGTCCAGGTACTAGACCAGGGAGCCAAGACAAAGCCCCGGCCCCCCGGCCCCCCGGCCCCCCCCCGCCCCCGCCCCCCCCCCGGCCCCGGCCCCCGCCCCGCCCCCGGCCCCCGGCCCCCCCGGCCCCGGCCCCCGGCCCCCCGGCCCCCCGGCCCCGGCCCCCGGCCCCGGCCCCCCCGGCTGACCTCTCCGGTGACCAGCAGCTTTGCATCATGGGAGAAGGACAGAGCACTGAACGACTTCCTGTGGAAACACACAAACCGACCAATCAGGAGCCGGCACCCAGTGACATCATCAGACACACACACACACAAACCGACCAATCAGGAGCCGGCACACAGTGACATCATCAGGTGGGACGTACCTGGAGGAGTTCAGGATGTGGCTCTGTTTGTTTGTGATCGGATCCAACAGCACCACCACACACCTGAGGTCAGAGGTCAGAGGTCACAGACAAACAACACAACAAACAACACATGAAAAACACACAAAAACACACGAAAAACACACAACACACGAAAACAACACAACAAACACACGAAAAACACACGACAACACACGAAAAACACACAAAACAACACAACAAACACACAACAAACAACACATAAAAACACACAATAAACAACACACGAAAACACACAAAAACACCACAACAAACAACACACGAAAACACACAAAAACAACACAACACACAAAAACACACGAAAAACACACAAAAACACACGAAAAACACACAACACACAAAAAAATGTAGGAAACAGACTCGGACACTGACATCAAGAAGAAATATTTAAACTAATGTACAACAATAACAAAAACAACACACACACAACACACACACAACACACACACAACAAAAACACAACACACAACACACAACAAAAACACAAGACACAACAAAAACAACAAACACAACAAAAACAACACAACATAAACAACAAACACACAACAAAAACAACACACACACAACAAACACAACAAAAACACAACACACAACAAAACACACACAACAAACACAACACACACAAACAACAAACACACAACACACAACAAAAACAACACACAACAAAAACAACAAACACACAACAAACAAACACACAACAAAAACAACACACACACAACAAACACAACAAACACACAACACAACAAAAACAACACACAACAAACACACAACACACAACAAAAACACAACAAACACACAACAAAAACACAACACACAACAAAAACACAACATAAACAACACACACACAACAAACACACAACAAAAACACCAAACACACAACAAAAACACAACAAAAACACAACACACAACACACAACAAAAACACAACACACAGTACAGTTGCACACAGCAGGTGTGTGTTCAAAAATAAAAATCTAATGTCTGTGATTTTGTGTTGATTTTCTGTTTTATTTAAAAGTCGATTTGATCGTTTTGTGTTTGAATAAATCCTGGGAGCCGCGTGAGCCGTGTGTCAAGAGCCGAGAGCGATATGTGGAGTATCGTATCGTGAGTGGAGTATCGTATCGTGAGTGGAGTATCGTATCGTGTGTGGAGTATCGTATCGTGAGTGGAGTATCGTATCGTGTGTGGAGTATCGTATCGTGAGTGTGGAGTATCGTATCGTGAGTGGAGTATCGTATCGTGTGTGGAGTATCGTATCGTGAGTGGAGTATCGTATCGTGTGTGGAGTATCGTATCGTGAGTGGAGTATCGTATCGTGAGTGGAGTATCGTATCGTGAGTGGAGTATCGTATCGTGTGTGGAGTATCGTATCGTGAGTGGAGTATCGTATCGTGAGTGGAGTATCGTATCGTAGTGTATCGTAGTGATCGTATCGTGTGTGTATCGTAGTAGTGTATCGTGAGTGGAGTATCGTATCGTGAGTGGAGTATCGTATCGAGACTCACCCGGCGGCGTAGGCCACAAACCCCGACGACGACGACGACAAACCACTGCAGCTCGACGTCAAACCAAACACCTGCTCCAGACCCACCTGCACAAGACCAAGACCAAGACCGAGACCGAGTTTAGACCAGAGACCAGACCAGACCAGAGACCAGAGACCAGAGACCAGAGACCAGAGTTATTGTGTTTTGTTATAGACCAGAGTCCAGGTCTGGTGTAAAACGTTGGGCTGATTTCAGGTCAGTTCTTTGGCTCTGGTTTTGTGTTGATGATCCAGACTCATCTCTGTCCAAGAACCTGAACCTGGTCCTGGTCCTGGTCCAGATCACAACACAGACGGACGGTTTATGGATCACACCTTCATCATCTTCATCATCTTCATCATCTTCATCATCTTCATCATCTTTATCATCTTTATCATCTTTATCATCTTCATCATCTTCATCATCTTCATCATCACAAACTCTGTTCAGACTCGTTTTGGTTTTGGCTCCGGGTCAAACACAACAAACTCTGACACGTTTATAGAGAAACAGAGAAACAGCTCAAGTCCTCTGACCCGGACGACCCGGCACTGCCCGGTCATTGTGCACAGAACATTCTTCACATTTCTCCACTGGACTCGGGTCTGAATCATGTCAAACTGTTTCAGCGCTTCACTGTCGCCTTCTGACCCTGTTTATCCCCCTTTGGTCCTGTTTGGTTCTGTTTGGTCCAGTCTGGTTCTGTTTGGTCCTGTTTGGTTCTGTTTGGTCCTGTTTGGTTCTGTTTGGTCCAGTCTGGTTCTGTTTGGTCCAGTCTGGTTCTGGTTCCGGTGACCCCCGCCCGCTCCGCCCTACACCGGGACGCGGCTCAAACTTTACCCGACTTTGGCTGCTCTTGCGCGGCTGTCTGGTTCTGCTCCTCCGCCGGAGACCAGCGCTCGCGTTCGGCTTCTTCTTCTCCAGGACTTCGGCCATGACCCGCGGGTGGAGCCGCCGCTGCTGCTCCGGCGTGAGGCCGCGGAGGAGTCGCTCTGGAGCCCGGACACTCGCAGCCAGCGCCGGGGGAAGCTCCGGGGTTTAGCGCCGTTAGCTCCGTTAGCTCCGTGAGGCTAACGCGGCTCCGGGGCGCCAGATCCTGAGACAGAAACACGCGTCCAGACACATGAAAACTTTATACACGACGAAAAAGAGTGAAAAGAGTGAAAAGAGTTCATATTCAGCAGTTTGTGTGATTTTAACTTGTGTTTCTTTATAGGAGGAACGTCCTCACCTTCACCTGCGGCAGATTAAGTCAAGAAAAAAAACACCGAACCTCAACTTCTAATGAATAATTATCAGACCACAGACCGGCCCATGTTCTGTTGTTCTGTTGTTCTGTTGTTCTGCTGGACTTGTGTTTGTTTGTTTCTTGTTCGTTCGTGATGAGGAAGCGGCTCTGGACCAGAGCAGAGGATCATGGGACATTGAGTCTCTGAGACCAAACCTGACGAACTGAGCCGCAAAGTGACGCACACTTCAGGATCTGGCAACTCAGCGGCGAGGCGGGAAGCGACTTCAAACGGCACCGCGCCCACCGCCCTCCAGACAGCCAATCAGAGGCGAGGAGCGCGTCCAGGTCCCGCCTACTCCTCCCCACAGCCAATCAGAGGCGAGGAGCGCGTCCAGGTCCCGCCCACTGCTCCCCACAGCCAATCAGAGGCGAGGAGCGCGTCCAGGTCCCGCCCACTGCTCCCCACAGCCAATCAGAGGCGAGAATCACACTCCCCACAGCCACGTGACAGTTTCACACAGACCAGTGATAATTTAATATTATTAAATCTAAAAACAATTTCAACATTTGTCTGAACAACTAAAGAACCAGAATAAGACTTTAGATTATTATTATTATGATTATTATGATTATGATTATTCTAGATCCATGTGACAGTTTATCTGATCCAAACTCAAAATCGACACTTCAAAAACAAAAACTCAAAAACTCAAATGTATGAAATTATATTTATTACAAAATGATTCACTCAGAGAAAAAGATTCTTCATTTTTTCAAAATATTTTCTGTACAAATGTCAAACTTCAACATTTAAGGCTCCAGGGCCACTGACACACAGAGGGCCCTGACACACAGAGGGCCCTGACACACAGGAAGGCCCCTGACACACAGAGGGCCCTGACACACAGAGAGGGGACCTGACACACAGGAGGACCCCTGACACACAGGAGGGGACCTGACACACAGAGGGCCCTGACACACAGGAAGGCCCCTGACACACAGAGAGGGGACCTGACACACAGGAGGACCCCTGACACACAGGAGGGGACCTGACACACACTAGGGCCCTGACACACAGGAGGGGACCTGACACACAGGAGGTCGTGTGTCTCAGTTTGAAGTTGTATTTTGTTCATTAAAGTCACAAACTTAAATCACGGTCAAAAAAACAGAAGAAGCAGAAAAGTGAGGAGGGCTGTGATTGGACGAGCTGAAGCTGTCGCCGGGCGGATTAGCAGGAGCCGGCATCTGATTGGTCCCTTCTGTGGCGCGTTTGTGCCCGCGGTCCCGCCTCCTCCAGACCTCAGATGTTTCTGCAGGTTTCACATCGTCAGTGTTCCCGAAGAGAAGGCGAGGGTGAGGGCGACGAGGGTGACGAGGGCCACGAGGACCGCGAGGGCGACGAGGGCGAGGGCGGCGAGGGCGAGGGCGGCGAGGGCGAGGGCGAGGTGGTGAGGGCCGCGAGGGCGAGGGCGGCGAGGGCGAGGGTGGTGATGGAGATGAGGGAGAGGGCGGCGAGCTCGGCGAGGGCGGCGAGGGTGGCGATGGAGATGAGGGAGAGGGCGGCGAGGGCGGCGAGGGCGGGAGGGCGAGGGCGAGGGCGGCGAGGGTGGCGATGG